TCCCTCTCTCTACTCCCTCAATCTCTCTACTCCCTACTCCTCTCTACTCCATACTCCTCCCTATTCCTATCCTGGTTTCAGATAAACTAAGAACAATATATCTCAATCTAAACCTCTATATACATACAGGTTATATTCTATACTAGATTCATCTTACTTTTCTATCCATCCTTTCTGCTTGCAATATTTTTCTAACTATCTATCTATCTATATAACTAACTACAGGGTTACCCACAATACATGAGACTGTAAAGTTGACTTTAAACTCTTCAAATATGAAGATTCCGATTTCAAATTAAGTCGTTGTCCTAAACGTGGCCTTTAAATAGTTTATTTAATGATTTGGCAAAGGGAGCAGAAAATCGTGAATATAAGGAAACAGACAGTATAAATTTCATACTGGCGTCTCTGAAATCTCATTCTTTGTGGGAACCCTGTAGTAAAAAAAAAATATTTTTGATTCAGTAAGTATGGTCCATGGGTCAAGGTTTTGAAATCTATTCTATCTATATTCTATTTGTTCTATCTATTTTATTTATTCTATCTATTTTATTTATTCTATCTATTCTATCTGTTCTATCTATTCTATCTATTCTATCTATTCCATCATATTCTATCTATTCTATCTATTCTATCTATTCTATCTGTTCTATCTATTCTATCTATTCTATCTATTCCATCATATTCTATCTATTTCATCTATTCTATCTATTCTATCTAAATCTAAATGCATCTGTGTCTATATATCTATCTATCCATCAATCTAACTATCTATTCAAATGTTTGATCCAATCCATTCTGAGATTAAACTTTGTATTTAATGTAACTCTGTCATTACAAAACCATTAGGTAGCCTAGAGTGCTAAATAGTTTTGTTCATTTTTTTGATTTCTAAAACTTTATTTAATGCAAATGGTTCAATCTAGAAATTTTTTGAACTTTCACAACTATTATTAAGTGAAAGCTTTTGATTCTCATTTATAATATCATTTTTATTTTCTGCATGTCATTGTATAAATTTGGTTCGGCGTTGGAAATATTTACATTTTCTAAAGTTAGATTAAGTATTTTCTAGAGAGATCTTAAAAATCTTTAAAATAGAAATTAATTATTTTTCTATACAAACAAACAAACAGACAAACATATCATGACATAAAAAGGAGCTGAACTCTCGCCTCAAACTCTAATCTAATCCCTGTATCCTTGCCACCCATTGCGATGATGCAAACCTACAGGGTTTTTAACTTTGAATATTAGATCAGAATATGTATAGTTTGCAATATCAAAGGTCTACGACATACGTTATAGTTATAAGTTATAGTTGATTATTTCTATAGTTATAGTAATAGATAAATACTATACATACATTACATTGCAGCCTTATATATGTTATTATGTATTAAATAAGATGGCGTCTCTATAATGTGATCAAGACATGTATTAATTAATTATATTCTCACTGTATAGTGTACAGTGTGCTGCACAATAACAAACAGTATAATATATAATTTGATTTACATTTATATATATCTTACTTGTTGGTGTGTTTGTTTGTTTGTGACCGATAAACATCAAAACGACTGAAAGTCGAACGAGCTGAACCGATCCGGCCCACATTTTTAGTGGGACCTCACGTGACCCCAGGGAAGGTTTATAGATGCTCAGAGTAACAAAACTTTGTTTCCAACATTTTTAATTTTTGCAAAGTTTGTACAAAAAGTCCACGAAAAAAATATTATTGAATCCGCGAACTTTTTTTTGTTATTGTTTGATGTTGTACAACGAGAAGATGCTTACAGAAGATGGAATAAAAGATGGGTGCGACGCGTAACAAAAGCCTAGAATATATATTTATATTTGCCTAAAATATCAAAATCAGAAGTGTACTTTACAGAAAAACGACAGAAAAAAGAGAGAAAAACTGTAAATCTCAAACTAGCAAAACCAACTTTGTGATAGGAAGCGTTCTGAACTTGTTATGATATGATAAACCCCTGGATTATACTGATAGGGTAGAATTATACCAACTTCATTCTTAACCTGTAAATCCTTTCAGCTCTTCTCAACCAGATTTAAGTCAAACTCCCAACCTGAGAAATCCGCAGATGTTCCTTTCATGAGAAAATCCGCAACTTTTATGTTTTCAAATCCACGCCTTGATCCTTTCCCATGAGACGATGAGTCAAGGGTTCAGGGTGTCACGTGACCCATCAGACTAGGAGTTGTTTGCAAATTACTAATCAGAAGAAGAAAAAATAAAATAATGAAGTTGGCCTGGCTGTAGCGGAGGTCGGTGCCTGCCCAGCCTCCTTCGTCAAACCAGTTTGGTTTAAACTGTCGGGATCTTAGTGTCACGTGTACCTCCGTAGAGAACGGAGTTGAGATATCCGACAGTGCCGGAGAAACCACCGGAGAGACGGGACGAAGAATCTTAATACTCTTGTTTTTTTAGAACATTCATTCAAAGGTGAGAAAAGGCAAATGTATGTTTTTTTACAATAGAATAAAATATATAAAGATAGTAGCTGGGGTGACAGAAAGAGATAAGGGTGATAAATCACCCGTCTTACTCAGAGAGAAACCACAGAAGAGTTTTTGCAAATACTAAATCTAACATAAAAGACTGCCATTACTTTGTTAAAAGTAAAAGAAATAAATAAAAAATAGGCATCAAAGAAAACAAAAAGTTTCTTTGCGTAAACTTTTTCAAATAACAATATATATCTCCAACTGTTGCACTTATAATCCTGGACATATAATGTTATCATAAAAATCTCAAAATAAAGGATATATAAGTTGCATGTTTGTAAATTAAGACAGTTTATCTTAAACAAAATAAAATTAGGCAAATGTTATTAACTTTGATTTTTTTTTGCTTGAAATTAAGTATTGATGATGATAATGTATTCACTAAAAAATATTTATTGTTTGATTTATGCTTTAAGAATAGAACTTAAAAATTGTAAAAAAAAATTTTAATGATGAAAATTAGAAATCAACTTTTAGCCTAAAAATATGATATATAAAAATAAAAAGAGAAGCTTAAGCCGATTAGACATGCTTCCTTTTTCTTTTACATTTAGGAATTAAAATAACAACATTTTTAAGCCACTCGCATTTTAAACAACAATAAATAACTATGCGTACACTGTGCATTTGTAAAGTTTTCAAAATAGAAATTAAGTAATTTATTTAAAAATTTATATTATTCTGAATTGAAAAAATACTAAAATATTCATCTTTTCAAAATAAATTCTCTTTCAACGGATATAAGTTTCCTGGAGATTAACAGAGAGAAGTTAATTTAAAATTTTCAAACGCTTTCAGGTTTCAATATTTATAAACTAAGTTTTTTAATAAAAGTTTTCAATTTTGAACATACATACCTCTTTCTGACTTCTGTACCTTTTTATTCTGAGAAAATACTGCAATCCTCCCTCTCCTTTCCTCATCATACCCCTTCACCTTCCTCATCATACCCCTTCACCTTCCTCATCATACCCCTTCACCTTCCTCATCATACCCCTTCACCTTCCTCATCATACCCTTCACCTTCCTTATCATACCCCTTCACCTTCCTCATCATACCCTTCACCTTCCTCATCATACCCCTTCACCTTCCTCATCATACCCCTTCACCTTCCTCATCATACCCATTCACCTTCCTCATCATACCCCTCCCCCCCCCGAACTTCAGAACGAAGAAAGTATTTAGGCTTTGTTCTATCATGCAACAAAGTAAATTGCAGTAAACATTTTTATTTTGTTCTGGAGATTATTTTCTCACAACTTCTTTTTTGCTCTTTTTCCGCTTCGACTTCCTCTATTCTTCCTTGTATCTTGTTCTTTAATCTTCCTCAATTCTTCCTTGTATCTTGTTTTTTTAATCTACCTCCATTCTTCCTTGTATCTTGTTCTTTAATCTACCTCCATTCTTCCTTGTATCTTGTTCTTTAATCTTCCTCCGTTCATTCTTATATTTTCTTCTTTCAATCTACCTCCGTTATTCCTTGAATCCTGTGTTAATCTTTCTCCATTCTTTCTTATACCTTGTGTTTAATCTACCTCCATTCTTCCTTGTATCTTGTTCTTTAATCTTCCTCCGTTCATTCTTATATTTTCTTCTTTCAATCTACCTCCGTTATTCCTTGAATCCTGTGTTAATCTTTCTCCATTCTTTCTTATACCTTGTGTTAATCTTCCTCCATTCTTCCTTGCATCTGGTTCTTTAAACTTCCTCCATTCGTCCTTGCATTTGAGTCTATCCTGACCCAAAGCTCCATTCTCCTTGCACTTTTTTCTTTTCTTCACCAACATTGCTTCATGTTTCTTTTATATTTCTATCTTTCTTTTTCCAATCTGTCTTCATTTCATTCTGCAATCTCTCTTGTCATTTTTTCTGTTTGCAAAGGAGTGTAAGCGTAGTTTCTATAGACCCTCATATACAAAGATGGAAATGCCCGATTCACTTTATCTTCCACAATATTGTTCAGATAAAGGTTTCAAGAGTATTGCCATCTGTGTCATCACTTGAAATCATGCTTAAGTATCTTGCTCCAACTATTATACTCTCTTAAGCTCCTTCATTGACCTTAAACCTCTTCTTTCTTCAACCCTTGCTTCAAACATTGCCCAACCTTTCAATTTTTTAGAAAACCTTTGCATCCTCGATCCAATTCTAGCAATTTCAAAAACTTTACGTCTGCACTATAAATCATGAAGATCATGAACCTAAGGCCAGTTTCTATCACCTCCCCCACCTTAAATCCAACCTTTCCATACGAAAAGAGGAGTCTGAACCTGACTTATAAAGTTTGTAGTGAAAATCTGTCCTGGGATCAAATGAGATCTTCAATGTCCTAAACTTTCAGGAAAATTCAAGAATCCCGGCATTCAACCAGATTTGCGTCATATATTCGTCAAATGCGGGAAACTTCAAACTTGAAAATTCCATTTAGTTTCTGCAGATAATGGTCTGCTGACACACACGCAGGTTCTAATTCTTTAAGATGTCATTAAACCTTAGACTTCAAACTGGAGAAACTTGTTAAAGAGAGTAAACTTTGTCAAGAGCAGTGAAAACTTGTAAATTCTTATCTTTCGGTGGAAAGAGCTTTTAGTTCAGTATTTTCTAAATTGGGAATGGGCTTCATCTCGGAAGGTATATATTAAATCAAATTAAAATTCGTATTCTATTTTCATGTAATATAATTTGCTAGTCTTTCAACAATTCCTTATTTCCATGGGAATAGAATTTTAAGTAATTTATTATTTAAAGATGAAAAAGATGAATTATATATTAGATTTAGCGCAAAATAGCTAAAGGTGTATTTTCCTTCTCACTTCCATAGCTCCGTTATCACGACACAAAGATTAATTCAACATGAATATACACGTCGTGTCGGCGCCTTTTTATACATTTTATCGTAACAATGAAATTGTTGATTCAGTCATAGTGTTACTTTTTCTTGTTAGATTTGGGACGAACTCAAATTTGTTAACCACCATATGTTTGTGTAAACCTTTGATATTATAAGCTTTGAATGAGATAATAAAGGAAAACATTTTTGGATGAACTCAAATTTATTAACTCCATATGGGTTATTTCCAAGTGTGCAATTTTTGGACCCCTCTAAGGGNGTACATGGATCTCGTATGTAACCGATGGATAAAATTGGTCATGTGGCCGCAGCGCCCTGCCCCCTAGCCTGTCCTGCCGCGGTGATCGGCCCCCTAACCTGTCCTAGCAGTGCAGTGCTCGGCCCCTTAGCCTTTCCTAGCCGCAGCGTTTGGCCCAGAAATTGTCTTAACCCAGCCTAACCTTAAATAAATACAAAATAACTTAAAATAACAAAATTGATAGTAGAGGGAAGGGGGGGGGGGTCCAAAATTCGTATACTTGTACCGACCCCCCATATGTTTGCAACCTGCACTGGTGGTGTAAATCTATGATATTTCAAAGTTTAATTATTTAATCTAATCTAAGAATTCAAATACTATTTTTATTTGCGAACTTAAAATAACAGCGCGACCAAAACTGGTTTCACATGACAATTTATTGAAATCTAAACATTATTTTCCTTTTTCCAAAAATCTGTCCAGCCTTCATCAAACCAAATCTAATTAAATCCATAGCCCCCCCCCCCCGTTTTACTTCTCAAAACTGAACCACACAAAAATATGATTGGTTAAGTATTTTAAAGTATTCTGTGGAGGATAAGCTCTATGGTGGTTCACCAAGAATTCTGAATCTTGAAAGCTTAAAAGTAAAAAAGTCTTGTATTTTCTCTAAACTAGGTTGATAATACAGAACCTACCTTAAGTTGGGGTTACCAAAGATTTTACAAGACGTCCGAACAAAAGAAAATATGACTCAAGGCTTTAAATTAAAGTAAATTCTCTGAATGTGTGATTCAGATGTTTTCACATGTTCTGTGTGTTTTTTTCTTTAGCTATAATATTGTACCTTGTACCGTGGTAGTTTGTATACAATCTACTGTTTATGGCCGTCTTGGAAACAGAAAGTCTTTGAGGTTTACCAAGTTTGTTCATAAGCCTGGATTAAACTAAGATTAGTTTCTCCTATATTCAAGATATTCAAGCATCTAAACCAGACGTTTCTTCATCATTTACATAAAATTCAGGGAGATAAGACGGAAAATGAGGGAAGGTTGTGGTAGTTAAATGAAAGGAGAAAGAGAAGGGAATGGGGGAGATGAGATGTAAAGATGTGAATGAAAGAAGAGAACGGGATTAGAGGGAGCATTTTTTTATTGCGTAAAAAGTAACTCTAAATTAAAAAGGAATGCGGGGATGATTTACATGCAGGGATCGATTGGGTTTATTACGAAAATAGGTCTTCTTTTATAAACACACTCAAAACAAAGACCCTGACGTTCGTCGAAATTAGCAAAAAAAAACTCCTGGAGTTAGTTTAAAAACGTTAAACTAAGCTAAAAATAGTAAAAAAAGCTCCTGTAGTGTACTGAGGTTAAAAACGTACAAACTAAGCTAAAAATAGTAAAAAAGCTCCTATAGTGTACTGAGGTTAAAAACGTACAAACTAAGCTAAAAATAGTAAAAAAGCTCCTATAGTGTACTGAGGTTAAAAACGAACAAACTAAGCTAAAAATAGTAAAAAAGCTCCTGTAGTGTAGTGAGGTTAAAAACGAACAAACTAAGCTAAAAATAGTAAAAAAGCTCCTGTAGTGTAGTGAGGTTAAAAACGTACAAACTAAGCTAAAAATAGTAAAAAATCTCCTGTAGTGTAGTGAGGTTAAAAACGTACAAACTAAGCTAAAAATAGTAAAAAAGAAACTCCTGTAGTGTAGTCCAAACGGCCACCTTTTTTTCATCGCCCACACCCTACTATACACTGTGCAGTATGCGTAAGGGGTGGGTGGTGAAATGAAGGAGGGGTGAGGGAAATGAGGAGGGGTGGGTGAGGGATAAGTTACAGAGCTAGTTGTTTTCTTTGAACCATTAAAAGTTCCAAGAGATCCAAGTTTTACTTTTAGTTTAAGAAGAGAGGAGAGAAAATAATGATACCAGGGATACCAGGGATACTAGGGATACCATGGATACAAGGGATACCAGGGATACCAGGGATATTAGGGATACCAGGGATACAAGGGACACCAAGTGTACCAGGGATAAAAGGGATACCAGGGATACTAGGGATACAAGGGATACCAGGGATACCAGGGATACCAGGGATACCAGGGATACTAGGGATACAAGGAATACCAGGGATATAAGGGATATTAGGGATACCAGGGATACAAGGGACACCAAGGGTACCAGGGATAAAAGGGATACCAGGGATACAAGGGATACAAGGGATACAAGGGATACCAGGGATACACGGGATACAAGGGATACAAGGGATACCAGGGACACCAGGGATACAAGGGATACCAGGGATACCATGGACACACGGGATACCAGGGATACCAGGGATACCAGGGATACCATGGATACAAGGGATACCAGGGATACCAGGGATACCATGGATACACGGGATACAAGAAATACCAGGGATATAAGGGATATTAGGGATACCAGGGATACAAGGGACACCAAGGGTACCAGGGATAAAAGGGTTACCAGGGATACTAGGGATACAAGGGATACCAGGGATAAAAGGGATACTAGGGATACAAGGGATACCATGGATACACGGGATACAAGGAATACCAGGGATACCAGGGATACAAGGGATACACGGGATACAAGGGATACCAGGGATACCAGGAATACCAGGAATACAAGTGATACAAGGGACACAAGGGATACAAGGGATACCAGGGATACACGGGATACAAGGGATACAAGGGATACCAGGGACACCAGGGATACAAGGGATACCAGGGATACAAGGGATACCAGGGATAACAGGGATACAAGGGATACAAGGGATACCAGAGATACTAGGGATACCAGGAATACCAGGGATACAAGGGATACCAGGGATACAAGGGATACAAGGGATACAAAGGATACAAGGGATACCAGGGATACAAGGGATACCAGGGATAAAAGGGATACTAGGGATACAAGGGATACCATGGATACAAGGGATACCATGGATACACGGGATACAAGGAATACCAGGGATACAAGGGATACCAGAGATACCAGGGATACAAGGGATACCAGGGATACAAGGGATACCAGGGATACAAGGGATACCAGAGATACTAGGGATACCAGTAATGCCAGGGATACCAGGGATACAAGGGATACTAGGATACAAGGGATACCAGGGATAAAAGGGATACCAGGGATACAAGGGATACCAAGGATGCCAGGAATACCAGGGATACCAGGGATACTAGGGATACAAGGGATACCAGGGATACTAGGGATACCAAGAACACCAGGGATACTAGGGACATCAGGGATACCTAGGATACCAGGGATAGCTGGGATACGTAGGATACCATAGATACCAGGGATAGCTGGGATACGTAGGATACCAGGGATATCATGGATACCAGGGATACCAGGGATACTACGGATACCAAGAATACCAGGGATACCAGGGATACCAGGGATACTAGGGACATCAGGGATACCTAGGATACCAGGGATAGCTGGGATACGTAGGATACCAGGGATACCAGTGATACCAGGAAAGGGATACCAGAGATACCAGGGATATCAGGAATTCCAGGGATACCAGGGATACCAGTTATATCAGGGATACCAGGGATACTAGGGATACCAAGAATACCAGGGATACCAGGGATACCAAGGATACCAGGGATACCAGGGATACAAGGGATACCAAGGATACCAAGGATACCAGGGATACCAGGGATACCAAGGATACCAGGGATAACAGGGATAAAAGCATTTTCAAGTTTCATGAAAATGTAATTGTGTCGATGTAGTACCACAACTATTTTTCCTCATAGAAAACTTTTTTCATTTTATTTTATTAAACCATTCACTGCGGAAAACATGGTTAAGGGGAGGGGGGTGCTGAAATAGGAATAAAATGATGTTCTCTGCTTAAAATTCACATTTTTCTCAAAAAATTACGGAACCATAGATAATTATTTAAAATTCGGTGATGATAATGGACCAATTCTCTATAGAATAAATAAAGTAGATGTTAGTTCCACATCTTATTGAAAATGTATTTCGGTCTGGGTTGACCCTCGTCAGTTCTTAAGTTTGTTTCTGTCATGAAGATTTAAACACAAATTAATGTTTAAATTAACTTATCATTCACGTAACTTGACCAATGAATTTATGATGAACGGAGACGTAACATTTAACAATAAACGTTAATATTCAAAAATTTTATTTCAAAAGTATTTGTTAGCATAAAGAGTCCCGAGGGGGAAGGGGGTGGGGGTTGAATTTTTGCCCTGAATATATTTATTTATGAAGATCAATAAGGTTTGGCTGGTTCTCAGTTTCAATTTAAAGTTTCCCCTGAATTCTGTTGTCTAGTACAATATACAATACATATATTAGACAGCTGAGCCAGAGTACAATATACAATACATATATTAGACAGCTGAGCCAGAGTAGTGTCTAGTACAATATACAATACATATATTAGACAGCTGAGCCAGAGTAGTGTCTAGTACAATATACAATACATATATTAGACAGCTGAGCCAGAGTAGTGTCTTGTACAATATACAATACATATATTAGACAGCTGAGCCAGAGTAGTGTCATGAAACCTGGTATTGGGTGTATTGGAACCCGGGTAATGGGTTAAGAGAATTGTGCAGGTATCCATTTTTTCGGTTTAAAATATCATTTAATATAATTAGTCTTATCATTTTCTACTTTCTATAAATGTGTAGAACTAAAAAATGAAACTCGGGAGTTTCTTTTATTGATACTTTTTAAAATTTCTGGCTCAGGAGGATAACAGAGTACATCAATTCTTTTAATTTTACCAATACAGCTATGTTACCAAGGGGGTAACCGGCGTATACAGGCATCTGTACCCCCCATATTTCACAGCATTCTTTTTCGACATTTTTATTAGATAGAAGGAGATATTACTGGTACGCCTTTGTGATCTCGCCACTAATCTAGTTTTAATTTTACTCACTAGTATGTGACACATATTATTTGGTTACTGATTAATACTATAGAAGTTTTAAAAACATTTTTGTTCTTCTCAATAGCACTATAGTTTAGCTATGAGGCCAAAAAACTATATTTTGTTTTCAATCTTACTGAATTGAGTCTTTGCCACAAACTCTGATTTTCTAATCACTATATCTTTGGAACCAAACGTTGCAAACCTTAGATATTTCAAACTATGAATTCTGTTAGATCAAATAATCTGAGTTTGAAATATCATAGGTTTACAACATCGGGTTCTAAACATATTGAGGTTTAAATATTTGATTTTGTTCCAAAGACTCGATTCCTATACTTAAGTTTTCGTGCTGGCTGTGAATGCCGCGCTTGTTTCTTGTTGATAGTGACATCAACGGCAGTAATAATTATTCAACTGCCTTGTGTTATTATGCGGGATAATATGTTTCTTTTTTTCGGCATTTTTACTTTTTTTGTTTGTTTAAGGGTTAAATTCAAGTTTAATCCCGAATCAATTCAATCTGATTGGAAAATGTGCAAATATTTTAATGAAAATCTGCGAAATATTAAAGGAACCAGGTATACAATGTTACTTTTTTGCCTTGGAACAAATAAGAAACTTTTTATACCCAAAATCATGGAATTGCGAGTTGGAATGCGGGATAAAAATCTTCCCAAAATTGAATAAAAGAAACTAATTATCCTTCCAAAATTCCATCTTGTTAATTTAAAATGATGAAAATCATCCCGCTCTAGACCTCAAAACATGAAAAATTAAAATTTAAAAGCAGGCAAATAAAGTTTCTGCAGAACAAAATTTACACAAATAACCCTTTCCCTGTTAATCTTTTGTAATATCCTTTAAATATGGGTTTATAGATATTTTACAATTCCTGAACAAAAAATAACAAGTTCAGGAATCCTAAAAGTCAGGCGATAAATTAATTTCTAAATGGGGGGGGGGGGAAGTTGAAGAAAATGAAAAGTAATTAAATAAACATGTTTTCCGTCAGTAAAAAATGTAGAGAAATTATTTTCTTCGGGGCAAAACTAATAGTTAGAAAAAATTCATAGTTTAAAAACATCAAAGTTTACGACATTTGGTTGCAAAGATATGAGGATAAGAAAATTATGGTTTGTGGGAAGTAATTAGTTAAACTTCAATGGCTATATAAATAAAAAAAATCAAAGATTGAATCTGATGATGACAATAAGTGGAAAATGTTAACATTTATATACCCACTTATCGTCCCAAGGGAAAGAAAGGAGGGGGGGGGGGTATTTGTTTTTCTAGATCTGATATTGTTTATATATAGGTATATAAATATATATCTGGGAATGTATTGTGGAATGTATATTGTATATCCTGGTTCGTCAACCACCATATACCTTCCCTTTGTTATACAAAGATAGTAGTTCAGCTTCTTACAATTATATTCTTAGCTATCTATCTATCTATCCAACTATACTATATTTTTCTATAGCTCTAGCTCTATCTATTTATCTCTCTCTATCTATCTATCTATCTATCTCTCTATCTATCTATCTATTTATCTATCTATCTATCTATCCAACTATACTATCTCGTATATTTTCTAGCTCTAGCTCTATCTATTTATCTCTCTCTCTATCTATCTATCTAGTTCCTGTTAATCCATCAAATATCCTGCTCTTCGTCCTATTTGTATTGTATCATGTATCCTTTATCGGAAATAGAAATAATTTTTGAGATTTTTTTCATTTTATTTATTTGTTACAATATCTGCAATCTTAGTCTTAAAGTTCCAAAATTGTTAATGCGCACAAGATAGAGTATACCAAGGAGAATTGAATAAAAGGAGGGGGCGATAGGGGTTCCGTACACTTTGATGTGACGTTTTTGGACTGCTGAAGAACTAGTTTTTGCGTAACAACAATAACACAAATGATAAACAGACATCTGGCATCTCTGGCGCGTTAGATGAAGATTCACCGTATACTAACTCATGTTTGTTTACATTAGATCGGCTGTTTGTTATTGTTGTGACGTAAAAACTAATTCTTCAGCAGTCCAAAAACGTCACAGAAAAGTGTACGGAAGGAAACCCTATCGCCCCCTCCTTCTATTCAATTCTCCTTGGAGTATACAATACATACTACAACATACTACAACTTCAAATAATATAAACATCGCTCTTTACTCCAACGCGTTAAAACTAACCATGTATTAACTCACAATTAAGCTTTTGTTTTGGAACAATGATTAAATGATATTTTAAGAGAATTCGCAATATTTTTCAATTTGTGGATCTATTAAAATATATTTGCTCTCCTTTTACACAATAGAGCATTGATGGAATCTAACTGAGCCGTGAAAATCAAGATCATGGTTCAAGTTGCTCTTTCAAATCTTTCTAGAGCAGATTCCTATTCTCAATATTTGATTGATATGATAATACCTTTTCTATACAAACTCAAAACCTTCTTTTACATTTATACACTCTTATAATACTAGGCTTCTCTATTTCAATTCAGTCAAAATTTATTTAAAAATAGATTTTGGACTTCTTCAAATAAAAGAGGAAAAGTAATATTGGTAGCTTAAATGTATATGTTTGCCGTTAATCATAAATAAATAATGCAAGGAAAGTTATTTCAAAGGTGTACGCATTTTTTGTACTGCAGTGTACTGTCTTTGGGCGGAAAAGTAAACACAAGACGGATGTCGAAGCCTGGCATGGAATCCCTTTTCACAAAAATAATCTATGAAGTATTCTGGTCTTAGAAAACTATTATGTGAATTTTCTAAATTATCAAAATTAAATTTTTTTATCCTCCTGGGAACACTGATGCATATATTCTTGTTTACAAATTCCGCCCAGAGAGAACTGGTTTCAATATGTACACAGAGTATACGCGACCGCAATTAACTTTCCTTGCATTAGTACTTTAAATATATGTACACGAGTAAATTAAGATGAGACACAATAAAAATCAAATCTTTGCAAGATTATATATTTATGATTTAGTCTAAATATCTTATGTTGAAAGAATAATGTTGTTTATTAAATTAATTGCAGTAAAAGTCCTTTTCTGGCATATTTTGTCACTAAATAGCTTTAACAATAATATTAAACTGTTTGCAAACATTCAGAATCTGCCCCGTTGACGCATATTTGGCGTAGTATTTGTACGCCGAAGCCAGAGGAGTATTCGGGGGGGGGGCTATGGGGCTCAGCTCCCCCTGAATCAGTGAAATCTATGGTTTCCATAGGGGTTTCACTCTGAAATTGATCTCTCTTACTTTCGTTATGTCTGTGTGACGTGTGTGTGAATAGCTTTGTATTAAATAGTTAACAAAAAGGGGTTGAATATGCATCTTTTAGTTTCGTTCAGTTTAAATACAGTTATGTAAATAATTCTCCCTTATTGGCAAATCACGTGAAAGTGGTTCTTGAATACCACAGAAACCATAGACAAACAATCCTGCTTTATTTACACAACAATTAGAAAAGTTAATTTACGCACACTATACATTGTATAAAACATTTTATTGATATTCTGCACGACACATTTTTTATAAAGTTACATGAATTACAAGGGTAAATACTTCCACAATTATTCAAAAAATTTCCTCAAAATTGAAATTTGTCAGCAACATTTTTTTTCCAAAAAGTTACTTTAATAAGTAAAAAAGAATATTAACCCCTGTTGAAGTATGATCCTAACTACAGGGTTTCACAGTATGCAATTTATTTCTACTTTGTATCGTACTTTGTTCATTATATGAGTTTCTTTATATTTGACAGCGTACCTTTTAGGTGGGTTCATTATACAATTTGTATTGTACTTTTATAATCATTTAACCATTTTGATTAGAGTATTTAGGGGGGGGGGGGGTTGTATAAATGTTAATATATATTAATGTAAAATATTGCAGAATATTCTAGTGTTGCAAACAACATTAATGCTAAATGTCACTTTTCCAGAAAATGTTTTATAATGTTTTTTTCCCTCATTAAATTGTTTTGATATAAGACAAAACGGGAAAATTATGATACCCATCTTTCTTTCAATTTTTTTTCTTTGAAAGTTTATTTCTAAAAATATCTTATATATTGAAATATATGTCTGTATGCTATAAAGCATCTGAAGACCCTACTGTTTAGATAATGGAAGAACCATGTAATATTCGGATAATAAAAGACTTTGGAGGATTTTTTGCTTTTAAACCATGAATAGCAGTTGAATACAGAAGAGATGATAAATTATAGAATTTCTTTTTCAGGTTTGAGTTTGCCGACTACTCTGAGTATACCTGGAGACCTGGAGCTCCCTCCAGCATTGTTTGTCTATATCTGGAAGGAAATGATACACCCTGGAGTTAAACTAAACCATCACTAGAATGGAAAACTATAAAGAAGAAAGAGAGAATTGAGAGAAGAAAAATCTCCTCTGTTACAGATGAGTTTGGTTTGAAGATCTAGGCGTAGCTGGATATAGAATGGGTGTGTCTGTTTACACCCTGATCCTGCTGAGCTTGCTAGGGCGTGGCCACGGGGGTGGGTGGAACCAGGGGGAGGCAAAGGTGTCTATAGACTATGTGCACGGTCCCCTGGTGGAGAGTGTGAGAAGGTTTCGGGGGAACTCAACCATCTCCGACAACTTCAAGATCGTTGTGGAGGACGGAACAGCGCTTTACGTCGGTGGAACGTAAGTTTTTTTTTACTTTCATTATCTAATTTTTATCGTAAGACACCATAAGAATATCTTTTTAAACTCAATTAAGCTAAATGTCTAAAAATCAAAAACCACAAATTATCGTTTTTAATAATGGAGCTAAACAAAGAAACTTATACTTGCCTCAAACTCTAATTTTTGAATCCTTTTTCTTAGGGATTATCTACCTTTAATTTAGCAATATCAAAGGTTTGCGATTTCAGGTTTTAAAATGACATAAAGATAAGAAAATTTAATTTTGAGACGATATCTTTATCTGGACTGGACCCTTATAATACCGACGACAGTCCCTTTAAAAATTCCTTTTTTTATTTAATTTTCTAAAATGTTTTTCTGATTTTCCTTTTCTGTTTCCAATCTCACTAATATTAGATATGCCAGAAACATTCGTTAAATTATACAGTCAGAGTTCTGCAGTAATCAGAAGACAGACTCTAGACTGGACATTTTCATTTCATCCTTCACTCTACCCTACACTTTCATTTCATCCTTCACTCTACCCTACACTTTCATTTCATCCTTCACTCTACCCTACACTTTCATTTCATCCTTCACTCTACCCTACACTTTCATTTGATCCTTCACTCTACCCTACACTTTCATTTCATCCTTCACTCTACCCTACACTTTCATTTCATCCTTCACTCTACCCTACACTTTCATTTCATCCTTCACTCTTCCCTACACTTTCATTTCATCCTTCACTCTACCCTAAACTTTCATTTCATTCTTCACTCTACCCTACACTTTCATTTCATCCTTCACTCCACCCTACACTTTCATTTCATCCTTCACTCTACCCTACACTTTCATTTCATTCTTTACTCCACCCTACACTTTCATTTCATCCTTTACTCTACCCTACACTTTCATTTCATCCTTCACTCTACCCTGCACTTTCATTTGATCCTTCACTCTTCCCTACACTTTCATTTCATCCTTCACTCTACCCTAAACTTTCATTTCATCCTTCACTCTACCCTACACTTTCATTTCATCCTTCACTCCACCCTACACTTTCATTTTAAACCTATCCTTCACTTCACCCTACACTTAAATTTTAAGTCTATCCTTCACTCCATCCTACACTTTTATCATATTTTTTATTTAAGAATTTAACCTAAAAAAACATTTAATTTAAAAAACTGTTTAATCCTTTTTACTTTATTTAAAATCTACTTCCAATCAAATTCATCTATTGATCAAGTTTAATCTTTTCGTTTTGAATTAAAGATTTAAGAAAGAAAACTCACGTCCATTCTAATTTGATTACAGAGCACGAATCTCCAAAAAATCGAATTTAGTGTTCAACATTTGATTTCTAAAACTTCTGAATGAAATTGAAATGAATAAAATGAATTATTATTGAATAAATGATTTGTTTGTATTGTAGAGGGGGGCAGGGGGGATGTTTACAACGATATATTTAGCTAGGTTTAGAAATGAACAATTTTCCAATTTGTAATTGAATTCACCTTTTATTAATTTAAATTAATTTAAAACGGAAAACTAATATTTTAGCGAGAAAACGTCGTCTTTGTTAGTTCTGCTTTTTATTTCTAGATGATTATACAACGATAATAGAATACTTATTTAAACCTGGAAATGGTGTCTAAGAGTAAGGATGGCATTTGCTTGAGTTCTCCCTGTGACCCTTGGACTAAATTCATTGATATCTGAATAAATTCCTTCCCTGGCAGTGTAAACATTCTGTTTGAAACTGCAGTTCATATTCCTCACAACCTTTATACAACTTCTCCCAACATTCTCCTCAAACAGAATATTTGATTTCCACTAGTTCCAGTCCCTTTCCTTCCCATCCTAGTTCCAGTCCCTTTCCTTCCAATCCTAGTTCCAGTCCCTTTCCTTCCCATCCTAGTTCCAGTCCCTTTCCTGCTCATCCCTCTGCTCAAGTTTCTCTCCTCTTTATCACTAGCTTCAGTTCCTCTCCTTTTTCTTATCCTTATTCTAGCTCAAGTCCATCTTATTCTCCTTATCCTAGCTTCAGCCCCAATCTTTATTATTCTAGCTCAAGCCCTAACTCTAGCTTCCTAGATATTTTCTCTAAATCTGGTTTTTAACTCTTTGTTTTGTTTTAGGAATAATATTTATATACTGAACTCTAAGGATTTGAAGGAACATGAAAAACTGGTAAGTAACTATTTAGTATTCTTTTTAACATAAAGAATTTAAAACCATGATTTTCTAAGATCAGTTGAAAAAATACAACGTAAGCTGTTAGGTGGAGGCTGAAACAAAAAATAGAAAATGGTTAGAGAGAGAGAGATTTTTCAATTAAGATATTTCAGGCTTTCATTTCAACCCTTAATTAAGTCAGCTTACAGATATAAAAACAATTGAGATCCATACTTGCTTCATTTATTCGAAATTAATTAATTAATGTTGTGTCATGAATTATGATTTCAAACCCTGGATCCGGATTCTGATGTTAAAAACATTATAGATATCAGGTACTGATGATAAATTATAGAAAATTTAAGTTTTTGGATTTAAAGTGGTTCCACCAAACATAGGAGATGTTCCTTTTGTTTGGAATCTGAATAGCTCAATAAGTTTTTATTATTGTCAGCATTCTGATATGCACTTTGAAAGAAGCATAAGAATAAGGAAGGAATACAAAACCCATGATATTTTCCAAAGAATAAGGAAGGAATCCAAAACCTTTGAAAATTTTCCAAATAATAAGGAAGGAATCCTAAACCTATGAAAATTTTCCAAATAATAAGGAAGGAATCCAAAACCTATGAAAATTTTCCAAATAATAAGGAAGGAATCCAAAACCTATGAAAATTTTGCAAGAGAAAGTATGCTTAATGCCAATATCCTAAATAATCCTGTTTACAGTGTATAAATCTATTAAAGTATATAACTAGATAACTAGGGGTGACAGGAGAAGATCCAAGGGATCTTTAACCAAGGAAAATCCTTAACATCAATTCTAATATAGTTTATACACTCACCTAGCCGCCGCAATACAGACAAGATACCATCTTTGGATTCACATTCATGGTTTGAGGAGTTATAGATTTTGTAAATTTGCCATTTATTCTACGGTATTTGGAATTTGGTCTCAGGAACTGAGTCCTTAAACCCTTACATCTTGGCAACCTATGATATTTCAGTCTATGAATTAAGTTTGAAATATCAAAGGATTAATCTTCAAGATATAGGGATTAGAACAAAAATGCTTCGGTTTGTAAAACCTGCTCCTGTTGTTTGTGGAATTTGCTCTTTTGGTGATTTTTTTCGGTTTGTAGAATTGGCTCCGGTATATGAACATGGCTCTGCGGTTTGAATTGATAACTCCAGTTTGTAGGGTTTACTCCGGTTTGTGAAATTTACTCCGGTTTGTGAAATTTACTCCCGTTTGTAGAATTTACTCCAGAATGTAAAATTTACTCCAAGTTGTCACTTGTGGAACTTATGCAGTGTGTAAAGTTTACTCTGGTTTGTAGAGTTTGCTCCGGTTTGTAGAGTTTTCTCCGGTTTGTAGAGTTTACTCCGGTTTGTAAAGTTTACTCCGATGTGTAGAGTTAACTCCGGTTTGTAGAGTTTACTCCGGTTTGTAGAGTTTACTCCGGTTTGTAGAGTTTACTCCGATTTGTAGAGTTAACTCCGGTTTGTAGAGTTTACTCCGGTTTGTAGAGTTAACTCCGACGTGTAGAGTTAACTCCGGTTTGTAGAGTTAACTCCGACGTGTAGAGTTAACTCCGGTTTGTAGAGTTAACTCCGACGTGTAGAGTTTACTCCGGTTTGTAGAGTTTACTCCGGTTTGAGTTTACTCCGGTTTGTAGAGTTTACTCCGGTTTGTAGAGTTTACTCCGGTTTGTAGAGTTTACTCCGGTTTGTAGAGTTTACTCCGGTTTGTAGAGTTTACTCCGGTTTGTAAAGTTTACTCTGGTTTGTAGAATTTGCTCCGGTTTGTAGAGTTTACTCCGGTTTGTAGAGTTTACTCCGGTTTGTAAAGTTTACTCTGGTTTGTAGAATTTGCTCCGGTTTGAGGAATCTATATCCAGGATATTGCGGATATGCGCCAAATCCCATTAGATCTTCAAATATTAACCAATCTTCCATCTATATATACTTTATAGTTTAGAACAGTTCATCCATCCAATATCAGGCGAGGGCCAACAACAAATATATAGAATTTGAAAGTTTTAAGAGAACCGACCGCCATGTTTGTTTATTTATTGCTTTTACTCACTAAAATATTGAAACGTTTTTGCTCTAATCTCTTTATAAAAACCTGATTTAAAAATGTATATATAAAATAGTATAAGATATTTATAGAATGTAGATATAGAAAAAATACTACATTAGAGGTAAAATTTACTAAAATTTAAGGAGTCGAGCTGTATTAAACTTTTTTTAATCTTTTGAAGTTTTTGAAGAAATGTGGATTGAAGAAAAATCTTCACTCTGAGCTAACACCTAGAAATAGATCTTGAAAATTAAAAAGTTTGAGTTAAAGCTCTTAAAATCAGCTCCCGGGTTAGGACGTTCATATATGAAATCTGTTCCTGCGATTTAATATATTACTTGAACCAGTGTGTAAGGAAAGTCTAAATGTATGTACGTAGATATATCGTTAGAAAGATTAGTTTTATTTTCTAATTTAATTAAAAGATGTTCTAACATGTAGAGCTGTAAATCAGTCCATGGTTCTAATCCAAGCATATTCCAGAGAATATCCTGGCCTCCGGATACTAAAGATTCTGAACTCTGCAGCATCAAGGGTAAAACAAGGGTAAATATCTTTGATCAATTAAATAAATAAAGAAAAAAGACGACTTTCTTTCTTCGAATTTTTAACCCTGAGGGAGGAACTCTTGTTTAGAGTATTGTTAACCTTGAAATAATGATTGATCTTGATATCCAATTTTTAGGATTAATGAAACTAGGAAAACCACACTATTTATCACTCTTTTACTTCAATAAGTTACATATGGAATTAATGGATATTAAATTTTAAAAAATGCTAGTTTTTTTTTCTCTTTTGGAGGATTTTTTTTTACGCCTATTGTTTTGAAATAAATGATTTAATTTAATTTAATTAAAAGTTTCTTCAGAATTCCAGGATTTCCAGGGGTCAAAAGAAAGTGCAAGTTATTTTTTAATTCCATTTTATTTTTTAGCTGTTCTACAATCTACTTAAGTCAGCAATTACATATTATCAAAGAAACTGAGTTTTTGCCACAATACCTACATCTCTTCAACCTGATGGTGTAAAACTTTGATATTTTAAACTATATTTAAAATTCAGTGATGGTGATGGACCAAACCTCTGTAGAGTAAAAAAGTAGATGTTAGTTCCACATTTATTGAAAATATATTTCGGTCTGGGTTGACCCTCGTCAGTTCTAACGATATAATAACCATCAAATCGATAAAAAAATAAAAAAATGTAAAAATCACAAGAAGATAAACAAACAAAAAGATTATTCAAAATAAAAATTTGGGCTGTCAAATGGACATAAGGGAAAAGAACTCAGATTATGAGATGGAAAAAAGATAATTTGCAAATATTCACTTTCTTAAAAAAATGTTTTAAGACAATTATTATTCCTTGAGATTGTTTCTTCACAAAGATTAAAAAAAACTGTGTAGATGTGTGAATATAGAGTTGGGGTGGGGGTCGATCTAATTAACGAACTTTTGCGTGAGTTGGGGGAGGGGGGGGGGAACGGCTTGTTTAAGGAGGGGTATTTAAAATCTTTTAAAAAATTGGACATGTTGAATCTAACAGATTTCGTAGTTTGAAATATAATTAATCAACGACATCGGGTTTCTAAGATATAGGGAAAAGAAAATTTGAGTCAGTGGTTACCAACAAAGGATGATATTTCTTAGACTCTTTGAATCTGTGATTCTCTGCAACTGTAATTATTAATTACTTGTTTCTTTCTTTACCAAATTTGTTTCAGGTCGTCCTTACAGTCTCATCCTTTGTGGGTGTCTCTGTAACTAACGTTTTATCCTCTGTGTTAGGTTCAGTGTCAGAACTATATCCGTGTGATCGCTAAGACTGATGAGAATAGGATTTTAATCTGTGGAACCCATTCATTCAAACCTCGTTGTAGATACTACAAATACAAGGTTAGAGAGTTTAGAACTACATTGTTTATGCAAATACCATAATTCAGATACCATATTTTTTTCAGATACCATTTTTTTATTTCGATACCATCTTTTTATTCTTATTTTAACACCTTTCTTTAAGCAAACAATCTCAGAATGATCAGATTAGTGACCCATGATAAGCGGATCTTTCCATAATCCCTATTTGAAAATGGATCAACAAGCAATCCCTATTACAGAATGGATCCTACTCTGTGGATCAGGAGTTTGATGGGAAAGGATTGACTCCTTATGATCCTGGTCACAATTCCTCATATCTTCTTGCAGGTGACATTTTTTATCTAAAAAGGTTAAAATTAATTCTCACATTTTTCTTTTTTTTTTTGTAAAAGATTCCAGAATATTAAAAGTTTGTAAATTTTTATAAAAATCTGAACTAAGTTCTGACTTTTGGTTGACAAAACTCCGAACTCTTAATTTCCCAAATACTTTCATGTTTAATTCCATTCTCAAGCCATTGTAAACCCACAGTGTCCCTGAAGGTGTAGTAAATATCGTAGCAATCCCCATATTTGTTAACCTGAACATACCTAGATATATTAAATAGGTATACGTTTTACATTGCCTGTAAATCTAAATGCGCTTTTTATTAACTACGCAAAACTTGTAATGCAATTAACCTATAGCCTAGCTACCTCTGTAAATACCTCAAAACCTGTATTGTGATTAACTTATAACTACGTAGTGATTTGCTTAACTACGCTTATATATATCCCCGCTAATCTTGTAAATATGTACATTAACTTAACCTGTAACATAGATGTCTAAATGCAAGTCAGTTGGAATAGACTCTGCTTTGATTCCAGCGTGAGAGTAATTACTTTTTGGTTAGCGAAAGAGAAGCGTCCTGAATCACTCTTTTAAAAGAACTAGATTAGGAATTGATATCTTGTATATTATCTTGTAAGACAGATACCTGAGATACTTTACGAGCTTGTGTCCGTGTTTGGCATTGATAGTTGAAGAGATCGTGCCAGTATTTTGCATTGATAGTGAAGAGTGGTTTAACTGTTCAGCTCATACCTCATAGACCAACGAGAGGGATTGAGTTGTACCTGGATTGAAACGGGTCTGAGAGACTCTAATGGAGTAGGGCATTTACTATAGAGGAACATTAACATTATTGAAAAAGTCCCAAAAAAACGTATTTTTCCATTTTTTCGTTTGGTTCTCTAGTTTTCAAAAATAAAAAAATTTAAAAAGTTTAGGGTTTTTTTAAACAATCCTCATTTTATAAAGTATTTTATGAAAATCTACCAAAATCAAGGGTTCGACTAAAACTTATTAGTTCTCTTTTGATTGTCATGCAATTTCTAATGTTAACACTCAACCTCTTCTGCAAGAATTCTCTTGTTTTCAATCATATTCATTGCTGATCTAATGTGTGGTACAATAGGGAACCCCAATTTATTCGAAGAGTTTTGAAAACCATTAACATCTGACGGTCTGAAAGTCTTCCCTCATTCTGAAATGCTGTTAATGGGGATCTTTCTTCAGTTACTTGCTTTACTGTAATTGTAATTTGGAGATGGAAGTTTGAGGAGTAAATGTATGATTTGTAGATGAGAGTTTTTATCACCATGGTTTTTTTCCGCAAAGTATACAAAAGTAAAAAAAAAATTTGACAAATAATGTTTATTAGATCATAAAAATTTGAAAAACTTTTGCCAAACAGTTTTGTTTGTAAATACATTAGAAATTGCATTGCAAGCAGAAAAGAATTAACAAGTTTTAGTCGAACCCTTGATTTTGGCAGATTTTCTTAAAATACTTTAATATGAGGTTTGTTTAAAACCCTCCCAACAAATTTCTTTTATTTTTTTAATTTTTGAAACTCGAAAACCAGACGAAAAAAATGACAAAATAACATTTTATTCGCAACTTGTGTCTTTATTCCTTCTCATCACTGTCCTTTATTCTATTCCCTTATTTTCCATTCCACACCTTGTACGTTATTCCATTGCCACCAATTCGTTATTTATTCATTCCATAGACCTCTTCGTCTTTCATTCCATAGACCTCGTCGTCTTTCATTCCATAGACCTCTTCGTCTTTCATTCCATAGACCTCGTCGTATTCCATTCCATAGACCTCTTCGTCTTTCATTCCA